TTTGTATTTTTAGCAGAGACGGGGTTTCACCATGTTAGCCAGGATGGTCTTAATCTCCTGACCTCGTGATCCGCCCGCCTTGGTCTCCCAAAGTGCTGGGATTAAAGACGTGAGCCACTGCGTCAGGCCCAAAAGTCCATTTTTAAAGCAATAATTAAAACATGATTGACAAGGGATGCTGACACATCCCTTCCCAACTACCAGACTTGCTTCTCTTTAACTCATTCTATCTCACTAATTGAAGAGTTTAATAAGAACTAAAAGGTTATGACACTATAGTTAATACTCATGGGATCTCTCCCTTTTACTTGACTGCTCACAACTACTATAGGTTATATTTTCACTATTTTTTGTTGCTTAGACAAGTTGACTACTAGTCATTTTAGAGCGATTTGTCTTCCTGAAAAAAATCTCAAGTAACTTAAAACAATAGTGATGCTGTATTTCATGAACACATCAGAATTCAATCCATAAAAGCAAAATGGGCAGGAAGCATGAGAAAAAGATAAATATTTAGTTTAACTCAGATAGGCCTCATCTCCAATTTAGTTCTTCTTAATTGAATAGCTCTATATGCTCTTCATTCTCAGAGCTTTATTAACATTCTTTAGGAGAATGAATAGGTAACCACATACACATACATATCTAAATGTGAAGAGGAAGGCAAAGGTAACTCTACTGATATCCAGAATCATAAAACCCAAAACTGAGCTGGATTTTCAATAGCTACAACTACAGTTATGTATATTAAATAACTGTCAATAGAACAAAGCAGGAACAGGTGGACAAATCCGTGTAGACACACAGCATTTATGACCAGACTACTCCTAAATCACTCAGAAGTAAACATCTCTTCTGGCTATCTCCTTAATAGTTTCCACTATGTCTCCTAAAAAAGTAAATTGAACTTTAGTTATTTAATGTTAACAACAGCATACAACTAATGAGTATAGCCAGATCATAATTACAGGAAAGAATTAAAAGGTAAAAAAAAAAATTTTTACATATTTCCCAGGACCTTCTCTAGCTTTCAAGTCACTATGCAGAAATCAAATTATTTTTACTTCTTTAATGAATGAAAAAAATATATTTTTAGATCATCATTAAGCACGTCTCCCCCAGTAAAGACTGATATCAAATAAAGAAAGGCTGCTTCCAGGCTGAGCCATCCTTTGCCTCCCCCAAGTTCCTTACAATGACCTAGGGAAATAACAGAGGGAGGCTGAAAATTTTCTAAGCAATGGTATTAACAAGATTTAGAAATAACAAAGTGCTATATAACTGAAATTCAAGGAATTATTTTTATCATTCAATTCAAATAATTGCTCAATCCTAGTATAACTAACACAAGCAGTTTTTTCTTAAGCTACATCCCTTCGGCTCTGTGCCACCTATTGCTGACTCATTTTCTCCCTCAAGTCATAATCTGACATCCATTTTCATCTAATTTCACCCATGTAAATATGTTATAAAAAGTGACACAAACAAACATGTTCTTACCACCATCACTACCTACTAAGAGTCCTGATAGGCTGGTCTCATTACATGCTGAGATTAAATTGACACTGAAATTATCAACATGAAATCAAGAAGAGTATTTGGAAAGGAGGGGCAGGCTTCAACAAATATGCAAAAGGAGAGTGGGTCCAGAACATGATTAAAATATCTTTGAACTGTCCCCTAGATTTCTCTGCAATCATAACTAGCCATCAAAAGGATCTTCTTGGATCTAGTCTGGCCTCTCTTCCTATAAAGTCTATGCTGTACCATTCTGTCATCCACATGCCCAGAGTCCCTCAAACTTTTTAATCTATCTGGCTAAATGCTGCCTCTTCAGTCTAAATAATAGGGATACTAACAGCAACAACAATAAACGTGTTGATTTCTCAATATGCATCAAGTATTTCACGTGTATTTTCTTATTTAGTCTTTTCAATAGCCCTGCAAAGTAGGAGATAATATTTATGCTGCATTTTACAAAGAGGGAAAACCAATGTTTAAAGAGATTATGTTACCTACATGAGTCACACAACTGGTAAGTGGCAGAGCAGAGGCCCAATCCCAGATCTGTCTGGTTCTAGAGTCCATTACCTTAACCACAAAGCTCTACAGTGTCTGTAGATACAGCTAAAAGTGCTCTAAGAATCACTTAGTCTAAGTCTTCCATTTAACAAATCAGGGACTGAGGATCCAAAGACTCTGGCATGGTCTCTTATAAGCCCTAACTCCAAATGAATGCATCATAGCATTAAACATATCCACAGCTCAATCCTTTGGCTTCAATGACTAATTTCCCTGATTCCCTACTAAACTATCACTCTGACTCTCTTGCTGACTCGTTTCTCTGTCCACATCCTAAACATCAGCATTCTGTAGGAATCCATCCTCAGCCTCCCGCCTGGTTAGGTTATTCTAGGGCTTTACAGCCTTCATAAGGCAACGCCCAAACTGATAAACACATCTAATCCCAGCTCCTAGCTCCTCCCTCTCCATCTGATGAACATATGATAGACCCCATTCCTTTAAATATCCACTTTACACTTATAATTTGCATCCATCCCAAGCTTTCAGTTAAAGACTCAGAAATCCCAATTTCCTACTTGACGTCTCATAGACTATACTCATGTGTAACCAAAGTTTAACTCCATCTTTTATAGCAAACATGCACCATCTCCTGCAATCCTTTAGCCCCAGCTGTCTTCCCCTGAGGCAGAAACAAGATGGTGCTGGATTTGATACCTTCTCTCACAGTCTGTATCTAGTTCTCCCCTAAACCCATCGCTTTTATCTAAATGTCTATGATGCAAGTAAACGTATCCATTCTGATGGCATTCTCTGGGCTAAGTTCTTAGATTTTGTCACACGAATTACTGCATTTCATTTCCCTGACTTAGATTCTCCCCACCTCTAATCTAAGCTCTCCTTGCCTAACAGAGTTACTATTTTAAAGGAGAACTAACTATTCCACTCCGATCCCCACATCCCTTCCTAACAACCTCAGAATAAAAACCTACCCACGGGAATGGCACTGAGGATCTTTCTCTTGTCTACTTTCCACCTTTTCTTCCATTTTCCCCCTCATCACTCTGGAATAATTGCTGTTCCCAGAATATACTTGCCATCTCTCTAGTTCTTAAGTTTATACTTGTGTTTGAAACTAATTCCTTCATCCAAGTGGCTTACAATCTCCGTTATCTTTTATACAAACCCTACTGACACCATCGGCATCTTCTTCCTAAACCTACTGAAAGCGGCATTTTTAGCTTACGGAATGTTTCCAGGGGATGTATGTCACTCTTGACCATCATCTAGGTCTACCTGGGAACAGAGGTTAAGACCCAGTACCCAGGTTTCAGAGGTACTTTTCCTGAGATTATGCAGCTGGTTAAATGGCTATTAATTTTCTAAATGGTCCCTATATATTTGTATTAAATTATAAAAATAAATAATCATTAACTAATAGTTACCTAAGTGTCCATGCTAATATGACAAATATCCACTAAAAGATTTAAAGATATGTAAAAAACCATGCACACAATGCCTTCTCTCACTGCAATATCTTATTTACATATTCATCTTACTACATCCATTAATTTGTGAGGTAGAGCAGTAGCAATCAAACTATCCTAAATATTTTTATGGTTTTGTAATATTTGTGCACTTTTCGCAGTAGATTCACACTATTTTAATCTTGTCCCAGTGCCAAATAACTTAACATGAGAGAGGTATTATATCACACTAAATATGAGAGAAAGTGATCAATTCTATCATCTGTATCAATAAATGAGAGGTCATAGCAAAGGGTCCTAAAATTGTACGCAATTTGAGAACTCTGACTTCAAAACTGAGTTTGAGATTACACATTCTAAAAAGAAAATTAATCAAAACTAATGAGCATTTAGTGAAGTTCTAAGTAGTTTAATGCAATGTGGTCACTCTTTCCGGTTGGTTTATTTTGTTCAGCGTTTCTTAATACGTTTTAATTATACAAAAATCTTCAGTTCTTCTATTGGTAGGTAACAGAAATATAACATGAGAAAAAGCTAAGCGGGGGGGCAACAAATGGATCACTTCAGTGAACCAATGAATGTCAGTAACCCATCCTGTATGATGCTACTGCCTGAACAAATAGATCCCTAGTTTTTAAAAACATTACATCAAAGCAAAAGAGTGCAAATCTCAATGCAATGAGCTCGGGTACCAACCTCCGCTGCTCTTCACCATGTTCTCCTGAAGGGACAGTGAGACACTCGTCCATGTGTCCATGCAGCAACCTGAGGACATCACCACCAATGAGATACCCTGTAAAAATTAAAAATCATTCAGTTTGGACTGTCAGGGTCAGATGTTGTTAACTGGACAGATCATCTGGTCCAATCTACTTTCATAAAGAAACTGAAGTCTAGTGAATCTTAAGGACCTAGTCAAGGTCACAGAGATAGACCGTGCCTGCTGTTCCCTCTGAGTCCCAGGTGCCCAAGTCCCACAGTTATGGATATTCCCACTAAAAGCAGGACCTCAAACACATAAAATCCTCTGTTAAACACACAAACACATTTCAATCAGATGTGAACCTATATAAGTTGTAATAGCCAGAACATATACAGATATTTCCCTAGGAAACCCTGATTTTTTGTAAAATTCCTGTTCCGGCTATAAGGCATGACTTCAGAAAACAAGAAATCTTGACATTAGTCCAACTAGGCAACACCCTGAGGTCAAAAAATTGAAGAAAACAACCCATAGGAAGCTATCACGGAAAGCACACACAAATAAACTAAAGCTGACAGTAGCATAAAAATAATGGAAGATTAATCTTCACCCAAGCTTCACTTTTAAAACAGCAATTTCAACAAGATCCTCAAATGTCAGGTATGCACATTACAGAATATTTAGACACAGACAAAAGTTCTAATTAACAATCAGCTCATTATCACAATTCCAAAGATGACCGTCAACTTTGCATCAAGGACAGGCCGTCTAATTGAAGTGGAGTTTTTACCTTGGGCTGCCTCACTTCCTGAGCTGATTGGGGCCACGCTCCAGAGAGTCTGCTGGAAAGCGGCATCCACGTGTAAGCTGCCATTGCCGTAAGACAAGTGCTGTATCAAGAGGCAAAAGAAGGCATCACTTCAGGCTCTGGTAAGCTGTAATATGTAAGCGCTTCTAGCAATGCAAACTTAACATTGCTGATTTGGTTATGTTCATAGAGAACATCTGTTTCAACCTGTCATTCAAGAATCAAAAAACTAGTCAGAAGAAAAGAAGTTCCTCTCTGAATTTAGGGATTTTAAAACTTCATTCGAACAGTTACTGACTTAAGTCAATAATCAAAATATGCATAAATGAATACACTAAATAAGTTTATTTGTAACAAGATACTATTTTTGTTTTAAGGGTGATTGATGAACAAAATGAGCACTTAAAATTATAATTGGGTTTTCCACATATCACACTCTGACAACTTTTTGATGATGAAGTAAGTGAAATCTATTGGACCAAGTTTATTGAGTCTTCATTTTATGAAGTCCTTAGGCATCTTACAGGGTCTTTTACGGAGTCCTTCAGGAACTGTTATCTGCAATTTGATACAAAAGCCATTAGATGGCGATATTTCCTAACAGCTATCTAAAACCAAGCTACATTTCTTCCAAAATTCAGGTATTACCAAATTTCAGATTTTCCTTCTTAGAAATAGAAACATATTAAAATAAAACATACTTAATATCTTTTAGAGCCGTAAGATTGAATTATGGAATGTTAACTAAGAAAAACAAAATTATGAGTACAGCCATATGCCTTGCTTATTTTACTAATCATTACTAGGCTGCCTCTAGAATTTCAAACATATATACAGCAACCACCTGTTTTCGTAGAGTCTTCTCAGTAAACATCGCCAATATCCCTGCAATGTTTCTGTAACACTTTGCCAATGCTGATGATAGCCTAAGATTTCACAGACTTTAATCAGACCAGAAATCTTGACCATCTTAGTTAGATGAAGATCAGTCATAGCCTAAAGTAGTCACCTTAGGTGTACTCCAGAGGCCTTTTAAACATCCTAAGGATCTCTTTAACATAAAGATACTATTCTCAAGTCACCATCAAGAAGAGGTCGTTCACTCTCTTTCTCTTAAAAATAAAACCAAAGAAACTTTTAACATTGTGATATGTATATAGGGTTTATCAGTCGTTTTTCCAATTAGTAAGACTGAAAGTTTACCAGCTGATACATAAGATTTAGCAATAATTTGCTCTTATGCCTCTCCTCAACCTCAGCTAGCTGCCTGCTTTTGTACAATTTCTTCTTCACTTCAATCTGTCATTCTTAATGTAATCCCAGCTAAGATTCCTTTATTGACTCAATTTCTTCTCCAATATGTTAAAACTGTTTGTTTACAAATAAATCATATCCCACCTGCTTTAACAAACAAGCAGAATATAGTTCCCTTCAAAGCAATTATCACACAATGAAATTCTTGGGATTATTTTCTTTTTGCCTTTTAGAAGTTACCTGACACAGGTTCACAGCTGTATTCCTAGCATCTGGCAATGTTATCCAATAAACATGTATGTGGAGAAGATAACCAAAATCATAAAATCAAAAGTACCATAAACTTAAAAATACATATTTTAAGCTATTCCATAAATACTATTTCAATAACTTAGTGTAAAAAAAAAAGCACGTGCACATGCGCACACACATACATATCCATGTGAATGACACCGATTTTAACCACACTCTGAAAACAATTCAAAATACCCGTGCTTATATTTGTGACCAAGTGAAAGTTCATGTAATATTATGATACGTAGATTACCATCATTTGTTAATTCATCATGGGTTCACTGAATGTACTATGTATATTAATAGTATACATTCTCCACCCCAAGGGTGCTTGTAATCTCATAGAAAAAATTCATACACGAAATGCTGTACCTCAGTATATAAACATATCACATGTGATATTTTGATACGTGTACACAGTGTGCAGTGATCAAATCAGAGTAATTGAGATATCTATCACCTCAAACATTGCATGCTACACTTTTTATATACTGAGGTACAGAATTTTGTGCATGTATTTTGTGTATGTATATGTATATGTATATGTATATGTAAAATATATACATATTTATAGGCTACATGTGGTATTTTGTACCAATTATGTATAAAATTATGTACCAATTAAATTAAAAAATAAATAGGGCCGGGCATGGTGGCTCATGCCTCTAATCCCAGCACTTTTGGAGGCCGAGGCGGGCGGATCACGAGGTCAGGAGATCGAGACCATCCTGGCTAATATGGCGAAACCCGTCTCTACTAAAAATACAGAAAATTAGCCGGGCATGGTGGTGGACACCTGTAGTCCCAGCTACTCGGGAGGCTGAGGCAGGAGAATGGCACGAACCCGGGAGGCAGAACTAGGAGTGAGCCAAGATCATGCCAGTGCACTCCAGCCTGGGTGACAGAGCGAGACTCCATCAAATAAATAAATAAATAAATAAATAAATGGATCTGGAAGGTGGGGAAAAGCCTTTAAAAATGCTGTGTAAATCGTAATCAACGTGCTACAGGAATTGTAAGAAGAGAACACTCCAGACAACAAAATGAGCGCGGAGTTTCTCATGGGTTGGGGGCTTTGAGGGAGGCAGTAGGATCACTTGGCCTGTGTCTCACGTTCATATCTTTGGAGATGCTGTCCCCAAACAAGTGTCTACATACATTGGATTTGAGTATGTGGATTAATAATGTGAATGTGCTATGTGCAAACACGTAAAACATACCAAACATTTTTGTAAACCATTTGGGAATTTTTATTTTTAACATACCAGAAACCTTGCTATCGGAAGTGAGCTGAGCCCCCTGGCCCTCTCAGAAGTTCTGAGAAGGGAAATGTGTGATAAGGGGAATGTGTTGAAGACAAGAGTGTGAGCACAAAGGTGGAGATACGGGCACATACATTACAGCCCAGAGCTTCGTCTTTGGAGCTGACAGCACATGCTAAGAGGTGGAATCACTGATAGGCCCACAGACAAAGGCTGGCGCCAGGCCAACGACCTTCTATTTTAGGCAATAAGGTGTTTACAGCAGTGACAAAATAGGGTGAGGGAGTTAAAAAAGCCATTTCCAAATCATATATATGCCTGAAGATAAATAATAAATATGAGAGAACCATAAACATGAAAATTTCAGTCTGTGGGAAAAAGTCCCAAATATGTCCTTAAGATTATATTACAATCACAGAAAGTTCTCTAAATAAGGTCTACTCTTCTAAAGAAAATATTCTATTTTGAATGCTTCCAATTTTGCTGCTTAAACAGCAAAGGGAAGTCTGGGTAAAAACTGCATCACGTCAGGCTTGTGGTATGCAATATTCAGAAAGCAACAACAGTTTCAATTACTGAAATTGGGATGAATTATCCTTAAAGCAAAAACAGACATTGGCAGAGGATGAAAGCCAAGTTGGCCTTAGGCTGAAATATGGAACCACTGTAGGATTTACAGGAAAATATGGTAGCATCAATCCACCAACAGCAGTACAGGGGCTTTGGCCACCAACCTCTGGGCACCCAGGTCTCACTTTGATCCTAGGATTAGTGATTTTCAAGCTCTAATAGGCACATGAATCTTCAGAAGACACCGTATTTAAAAATGTAGATTGGAGGGCCAGGCGCAGTGGCTTACACCTGTAATCCCAGCACTTTGGGAGGCTGAGGCGGGTGGATCACGAGGTCAGGAGTTCAAGACCATCCTGGCTAACACAGTGAAGCCCCATCTCTACTAAAAATACAAAAAATTATCCAGGTATGGTGGCAGGCGCCTATAGTCCCAGCTACTCGGGAGGCTGGGGCAGGAGAATGGCATGAACCCGGGAGGCAGAGGCTGTGCTGCAGTGAGCCAAGATCGCACCACTGCACTCCAGACTGGACGACAGAGCAAGACTCCATCCCAAAAAAAAGAAAAGAAAAAAAATGTAGATTGGAATGCAGAGTCGTCGGAGGGTTTGTCAATCAAGACTGCTGATCCAAGAGTAACAAGACATTACATGAAAGAAGCACAACATCTCAGAAATGGAAGGGACATGATAAATCGCCTTACACAGATTATACTCTGATACCTTTAGTTTCCTTTCTGATCCATGTATTTTATGCATTTTACCATTTTTATGATGAAGTCAATAAGTTTTATCAGCCTGCAATGGAAGTCCATGGTACAAAAACTTCGTACCAAGAATCTCTGAATTGAACCCTTATCTGATGCAATGATTCCCTCATTTATTCATCTTTTATTAAACTTCCAGGTACTTCGGCCCTGGTGATGCAACATTCCGAATACATTGTCATTTATTCGGACAGGAAACACAAGTAAACAAGTCATATTACTCCTCAGGCATCAGTTTTTTCTTCTGAAAATAAATAAATAAATAAATGAGGGGCAGAGAAACAGTTGTTCTCTTCAAATGTAATATTTTATGGTTTCATTACCTGAGCCACAGAGGAAAGAAAGGCTCAAGGCAAATCAATCAAAACTGAATTGGTTCATATAATAAATCACTCGAAAATATTTATGATCACTCTTTTATCATTATTTTCACACAACTTGAGGCAATTCAGCAATTTATTATGCAATCAATAATTACCCATATTTTGTATTAGACAGTTAGAGGTGGGTAAGAAAGAAGTAAATTTTTTGAACTGTAGAATAGCTTTCTCTTAAGCATTTTCTCATAATCACCCTTTAGATTAAGCATTCTGTTTTTCCCAATATATTTTCAATCAGTTGTTTGTTTGGCAATGTTTTCACAGATCTGAAAAACTTGGCCTGTTTCATTAAGTAACCCGATCAGTAGAAAATCAGTTGGAAATCTACATTTCCAGAGCAAACAATCCAATCCTCAGACTGAAAACATTTGTACATACTGGAGTGATTTTTACACCTAACACACAGAAAAAAATTGTTTTGTAAGTTTTATTTTGTTTAGTTTGAAATAAATTCAGTCAGTAATATCTACTTGGCCATGTTTTCTCTATTTTAAATTGTATATTTCTCTTAAGGTGCTTTGCTAAGGCCTTCTTTAAAAGAAAATAAGATTTTCAATGAGCAAAAAAATTTCTTTCCTTTTGGATATTTTTGAAAAGAAGATTAATGTATCATTTGACATTAGAATATAAAATAGCAAAAATGAGAAAAGACATTATCTGGGTGAGGCGTTTACAATCATTTTTAGAGGCTGAGACCCTCTATACCTCAGAAATTGTGCCCCAGTGTTCAATGCATACAGCAGACAACGGTGGATCAATCCCAGGTGCCATCCACAGCATCCTCTGCTGTCCGTCCACAAGGCATCTTCTCAGAGGACAGGGTGAAAACCAACCCTCCAAACCAGCTCTCATCAATTTAGCATTGTAATAGTTGTAAGCTTTATGAGTGTACCCCATGCACTATTAGTTTAATCTTAGCTTAACCATCACTGTTAGTGAAAGAAAAATCCTTCATCGGTCAATAGACACCGATGACTACAGAGCTGTAAAATCAATGACTGGAAATGTTTATTTTTAGAAGGTAGTTTTAACTAATTTGTTATCAGACATTTTAAAACTTACTTATTTTTAACAACATCAGCACCTCCTCAGAAGATGAACCTTGCTTTCACCTGATAGATCTTTATTTAATATCACCTATAATATTCCTTCCACTGTCTTCTTCTAGTTAAACATCTGTTGTTTCTTTAAACACTTTTTTTTTTTTTTTTTTTTTTTTTTGAGATGGAGTCTCAATCTGTCACCTAGGCTGGAATGCAGTGGCATGAGGCATGGTATCGGCCCATTGCAACCTCCACCTCCCCAATTCAAGCGATTCTCCCGCCTCAGCTTCCTGAGTAGCTGGGATTACAGGTGTGCACCACTAAGCCCAACTAATTTTTTTTTTTTTAAGACGGAGTTTCACTCTTGTCGCCCAGGCTGGAGTGCAATGGTATGATCTCAGCTCACTGCAACCTCTGCCTCCTGGGTTCAGGCAATTATCCTGCCTCAGCCTCCCGAGTAGCTGGGATTACTGGCACCTGCCACCACGCCTGGCTAATTTTTGTATTTTTAGTAGAGACGGGGCTTCACCATGTTGGCCAGGCTGGTCCTGAACTCCTGACCTCAGGTGATCCACCCGCCTCGGCCTCCCAAAGTGCTGAGATTACAGGCATGAGCCACCAGGCCTGGCCTAATTTTTGTATTTTTTTTAGTAGAGACAGAGTCTTGCTATTTTGGCTATGCTGGTCTTGAACTCCTGGCCTAAAGTAATTCGCCCACCTTGGCCTCCCAAAGTGCTGGGATTACAGGCGTGAGCTACCATGCCCAGCTTCTTTAACTATTCTTAACAGGCACAAATCTCTCAAGTAAATAGTGACAGTAACTTACTAAACAATTTTTATGTGCCATTCACAGAACCTCGAGCCTTGTTGGATTCCAGCATTTAATCCCATAACACCCCTATGAGTTAAGTTCTTTATTATTTCCCAGACTCCAGATATATACACACACATATATATGTATACATATACACACACACACAGAGTCCATCTTTAGTTATTCAGGGTTTATTCTACAGATTATTTCAACTACCTCTGCCTATCCCAAAGTCCTTTCACTAACTCACTTCTTGATCTTTCAATTTCTCTAGATCCTTTTCACTGAGTCCTCCAAATAAATCTTTGAATCCACACCATAGTACTTCATATACTCGCTACTAATCCACCACGGTGGGAATGTAAGATAATAATTCACCATCTCTATACCCATAGGAATGTCCGTCAGTATCTCCAAGCTACACTGTAATGTGTATTTACTGTCTTACAGTATCCTCATACAGCTCTGTATGTGTTTGATTTGTTTTCTCCACTAATTATTTGAGGATAGAAAGCATGAGTAATGTGTCCTTGGCCTTTCCTGTTGTTTCTGCCATATGCCAGGTCCATAGAGATGAACAATAAAAGCAACGACTTCATTACCAAATGAAAGCGAAATTTGAACAACCTGGTTGGCCGCTCTCTTGTAGCTCCATATGAAAGGTTACCAGGAAAGAGAACATAAATAATTGGCTATGTAGCACAGGCTGGGCAAGGTATGGCTCATCCCTATAGTTCCAGCCACTTGGGAGGCTGACTGGGAAGAATAGGAGGTTGAGGCTTCAGTGAGCTATGATCGCCACAGTACTCCAGCCTGGGCCACAGGGCAAGACTCTGTCTCAAAAAATAAATAAAATAAAATAAAATGTAGCTTGGAAATCACTCATAAATTTTAATTAATTATGAGGTGTATTTCCTTCCATAGGAGGTAAATCTCATGTATCATTATTATTATTACTTTCACTTGTATAGTGCTTTTTAATTCTGCCCATATTTAAATCCATTATCTCATTGCTTCCTCACAATAACCTTGGTACTATGTATTATTATTAGCATCAACCTCATTTTTTACAGATGAGAAAGCCAGAGTTCAGAGAATTAGATGACTTTCTCAGGTGGTTAGTTGTAGAATAGATAGATAGATAGAACAGTCCTGGCCCTGTGAGGTCTGGATTTTTAATTTTTCAGTTCATAATGATGCCATCCTGTCAAGTAAACTCTGATACATAGCGGAAGTACAAATTGTACAACAACAACAACAATAAGAAAAAATTCATAGTTATGTTGAAATCAAAATAGAATATGTGTATAATTTATATATTAAAAAGTGTGCATGAATTATTTCTACTGCTATTGGTTTCTAGGTATAACTGCAATTCAAAATGCATATCTGATCAAAACACATCACTTTAACATACATAGCACATGGCATATAGCAAGGACTTAATAAGTGCTTATTTTACAATCTGCACACCTGTATTATCTTAGAAATTCACATGGTGACTATTTCTATCTACACTGGTTAAGGGACAAAAGTAGAGAAACACTCCAGGCCTCCCTAATAGCTATGCAACATCACACACTTCATTTAATTTAATAGTTTCTGTCATTTACACGAGACACTGTTATACCATTTCCTTGTCTTCATCATTACCTCTTCTACAAGGCAAGTGAAATAAAACAAAACCAATCTTCCTAGAAATGTTTCAAATCTGGAATTAAGAGTATTGGTAAACCAAAACTGACTTACAACACTCCCAAACTTACCCTAGTTCATGTTTATAGAACAAGGGAGTATCAACTACTTACTTAATCCTAAATCAGTAACGCATGAACTACATTTTGATTTATGGTCATGGTAAAACACTTTCCATACCCCAGTATCTGCTAAATTGCCACGTGCCCTATTTCAGATTTTTGTTTCAATCATCACACACGGTGATGTCTGGGATTTTTCACGTGAATATTCATATAAAGTTTACAATGCCCCATTTTATATTTATGTAGTCACTTTTCAACCTTAAAATGAATATTTTGCTCTAGCATCCTTCACATCTTTATTTCAACTTACTTCATTTCAATTTACTGTAAACTTCTGTATTGGACTATTCTCTGGCAAAACTACAACTTACTAAATAAGTTAAATCAAATACATATTGACCTTACCACAAAAGTTCAAAATGCATGTGATGTGGTTTGGCTGTGTCCCCACCCAAATCTTACCAGTGGGAGGTAATTAAATAATGGAGGGCAAGTCTTTCCCATGTTCTCACGATAGTGAATAAGTCTCATGAGATCTAATGGTTTTAAAAAGAGGAGTTCCCCTACACAAGCTCTCGTCTCTTGTCTGCTGCCACGTGAGACGTGTCTTTCACCTTCCGCCATGACTGTAAGTCCAATAAACCTTTTTCTTTTGTAAATTGCCCAGTCTTGGGTAGTCTTTATCATCAGCATGAAAACAGACTAATACAACATTTAATGATTAAACACAAACTTCTTTCTTCATTCTCCCATTTCCAGCCCCTACTCTTTGAAACAATGCAATGTCAATGACAGACTTCAAACTGTTTCTTATTTTGTCTATTTCTCCTTTCTTAACAAGGCAAGTGTTCCTCACATAATAATTTGCTTTCATAAATATCAAAAGAGGTAATCACAACCTCATTAATATAGCCTTTTCATCAGGTGCAAAATAAAGACCATGGAATTTTTAATTCCTAATTAGACTGCATTTACATTCTATTAATAAAGTAATTTATTAAAAGGTACTATCAATATCATGAACATGCATATCAAGGTCACGAGGGAAGCCTGCCTGAACAAACCTGATATTCCACTCACTGTATTTCCACTCACATCACATTTTTCTTCTATTTAGGAAAGTATTTATAATTAATCTAATAGAGATAGAGGAATGGTTATAAGCAATTGTCGTAGACAATTTACAATATAAACCTTAAAGAGATTATTTTATTGACTTGTCATTTAGCATATCACCAGATACATGATTCTACTTTCCACACTTACCAAGTACCTTTCAGAGGACACGCTAACTAAGATGAGGTCATCTCCAACTCGTACTTTTTCTCCTTCTGATCGCTGCTTAGAGGCAGGGTGTATGGTCCACCAACAAGCCTCCCCTGCAGAGAGATGGATATGTGAAACACAAAAAAAGTTCCTCTGGGTTAAAATCTATTTTCTTTGCCAACGATTCCAAACACACAACTTCCAGAAATCTGGAATTAATGCAAATTAATCTCTTATACCAAGAAAAGAGAAAGAATTAAGTCTTAGCTTAGGATAAAATAAGATTCTTTTCATAGAAACTGGGTGTGACACTTACGGAATGCTGATGCCTTTTTCTTCCACGAAGAATTGCTTTAAATGGATATTTATTTATACTCATGTAAGACAAAATTCACCACTCACACTGATCTGATTTCATTCTTTACACACGCACATGTCATTATACCGTTCAATTGCTTTCTATAAAATCATCTCGTTTTTTGACAATTTTCAAAAAGACTTGGGGTTTTGTGATGTGATGATTGTGTTGTAGCAATTTTTTGAAAATTTTCTCAGTAGCTATTTTTCGATGCTGACTCAAAAAAAGGATGCAAAGTATTGTCATCTGAAGATTGTACTATCCTGTCCCCTTTTTACTTTATTATTTTAAAATGTGGTGTTTTCATTTTTTTTCTTTTTTTTTTTTTTTTGAGACAGTGTCTTGCTTTGTCACCCAGGCTAGAGTGCAATGGCACAACCTCAGCTCATAGCAACCTCCACGTCCCAGGTTCAAGCGATTCTCCTGCCTCAGCCTCCTGAGTAGCTGGGACTACAGGCACCTGCCACCATGCCTGGCTAATTTTTGTATTTTTAGTAGAGACGGGGTTTCACCATGTTGGTTAGGCTGGTCTTGAACTCCTGACCTTGTGATCCTCCCGCCTTGGCCTCCCAAAGTGCTGGGATTACAGGCGTGAGCCACCGCGCCCGGCCATGGTGTTTTCTATTAAACTAAAGGTAACATATAAGAGAATCCTTCTGTAGAAGAATGAATTATAAAAGATCTTGGTTTACATCAACCAAACAATTTCTTCTAGGATAAGTCAAGCATAAGCCTCATGAGCCACATGTCTCTTCTTCACTCTTTCTTCCCAATACCTAACATATAAGCGTCAGCATGGCATTCTTCATTCTGTTCATAATACCTTTGAAAACCTAAATGCGACTTCTATCCCAAAATGAGAGTAGTGTTTTCACAAAATCTGTCATCATTTATCATTCTTTGCCTTCACTCAACTTTATGGTTTTTCCATAAATCTTTTTTTTTCTTGACTAATTCCTCAAGGCCAGAACGTAAGTTCCTATTAGTTGGACTTGTTATGTTTTGTTCACTGAGGTTTCTCCAGCTCCTGCTAGCCTATTATAAGCACTCACTACAAATTCATTTTGCATGGATGAATAAATGAATTACCAAATAATATTTTGTAAGTATTCTCACAGTCAATATATAATCTGTGTTTTTTCTTACATAAACCATAGTCTAACTTGCTTTACTTATACAAACCATAATCTAACCTGAATGTCACGTGGTGTAATTCTTTATCTTCATTCATCCAATTCACATTTTTACAGTTGCAGGTAGTTTTTCATTCACTCAAACATTTATAGAGTACCCACTATTGGCTAATCATTGCTTTAGTGGCTGGGATACATCAGTAAACAAGGAAGAAAAAATTATCTGCCTTGTGAGTTTAATTCTGATGAAGGCAGGCAGACAACAAATGATAAATACCATAAATAACTGAGGAATTCAGAAGAAGTAGGAAGCTATGGGAAAAAAAGAGACTAGAGTAAGGAAATTAGGACGCAGGGAGAAACACTGACTTGTTTTGTTTTGACTATTACATAATCTTCTCAATGTATGAAAACAAGTTCTAGACTGTGTCTTTTACTTCTTATGAAGAGAGAAATGACAATTTTCTCATTTAACTTGTGCTGAAATACACTAATTAGAATAACTAAAAAACTAGCAAAAATACAGGGGAACGATAGCGTCTATACAAAACAAAATCAGAATAATATATTTATGTATGTTTCTGGTGCTGGGGGTTCTTGGAATTTCTTGTACAAGACGATGTGTCTATTAAAATGTGTATGAGGCTCATAAACATAGCTTTATTTTTACCTTCTCATTGTTTGTAAAAACAATTTAGTGAATATGGGGAAATACTTTAAAGAGGGGGAGTGGAGTGAGAGGATAGTTTGATCTCACTCTTCAAAGGAACAACTTAATAAAAGTTGAACTATTTCCTTCCATTCTTTTTTCTACTTGGTCTTTATTTTAATTACACAGGGATGTATGCTCATTGTAAAAGACAAAACAGTCCAATTTTATAGGGGTATATAAAGTCAATGCAAAATCCTCAGAGTATTGAGGAGAACATCAAATTTGCGTTCTCCTATTTTGATTCGCCAAAAAAAAAAAAAGTTAATATATACATTTTTGTTTCACAAATCTGAAAATGCACGTCTGTTTGGACAGGTATGTAGAAGAATGCCCTGTGGGCAGAGAAATGAAGGAGACTTTCATTTTTGACCTTTTTATTTGAATGTTGGCATCAAGTATGTTATATTTTCAGACTTAAAAACATTTTTAAGATGAGAGAGATACGTAGAATTACTTCACAAACTAATTAGTGCACATTAATATGGTTAACATCCAGTAAATCATGTAGTAAATATTAATTTTCTATCCAAACCTACAAGGAGAATAAGGTTTGAAGCCTAGTTTGAACATCCAACTAATGATGTGGGAATAACTAAGAGGAATGATACACACTTCCCCCTTCTAGGAAAAACTTTCATTAGAACATTTTTTCCTGACCCCATTCATAAGAACATTCATCCCATGTATTGTATTTCCCAGCTTCTTCCAATCCAATCTCATCAGGGCTCTCTCTGAACCCAGCTTCCCGCAGCACAAGGTGCTCACCTGTGGTGTCCTCTTGCAAGCCAACATCAAAAGCCAGCTTATCAGTTGAAGACCGGGAGGTGGACAGGCAGCACAGATACTGCAAAATACAAAATCAGTAGTTGTAAGTAGAGGCTTCGTTTGTCTGTTGTTTTTGAGACAAGGTTGCTCTGTTGCACAGGCTGGAAGTGCAGTGGTGTGATCACAGCTCACTGCAGCCTCAACCTCCTGGGCTCAAGCAATCATCCCGCCTCAGCCTCCTGAGTAGCTGGGACTACAGGGACATGCCACCATGCCAAGCTAATTATTTCCTTTTTTTTGTAGAGATGGGGTTTCACCATGTTGTCCAGGCTGGTCTCGAACTCCTAGACTCAAGTGATCCTCCTACCTTAGGTTCCCAAGTAGCTGGGGCCACAGGTGCGCACCACCACATCCAGTTAATTTTTTTTTTTTCCATAGAGATGAGATCCCCCTATGTTGCCAAGGTGATCTCAAACTCCTAAACTCAAGCAATCTCCCACCTCCACCTCCCAAAGTGCTGGGATTATAGGCATGAGCCACAGCGACTGGCTATCATTAAGGTTTACAGTTGTACCAGCGGAGTCTTATTTTGACCTGTAATTTGGCATCCGTCTATCCCTGCTGTTCTTAGTGTTTTCCTGAAAATCTCGATGCTTCTGCACACAGATTTTTAAATGTCTGTGAGGCAGAACAGCATGCATTAGGGGCAATATCCTAAAGGAATTGTAGTCTTTTTTCCCTTATAAAAGACTAAGGAAATGTTCTCTGTCAGTACAGGAAGACAAGTAACTGGGGATGTATTTGTACATCTCTCACTTCATGTGATATTCATGATCATCTGCAAAAGTACAATGTAATCTGACAGTTAGAAATCTTTCTCCCAAACAAATTTGAAGACTATTCTCTTTTATCTTCTAGCTTTGTTTTCATTTAAAAATGTTTAACTCTTTGAAATCCACCTAGAATTTATTTTGGTGCACAGCATGTCATTGCACTAAAATGAGGTTTATTGTGTGTCTCCATACATGTGCATTTTCCACAGGAGTAATCACTCTTGAACACCGTCATCTCCTTATTCTTCCCACCCTCAGGTGTTCCTAACTGTATATTCTTGGACATCAAGTTTAGGATCATTTTTCAAGCCTACTGCTCCCCAACCTCCATGCCACAACGTGTTGTAAGAACACAGACACAAAGATGAATGTGTTGTAAGAACAGAAACACAAAGATAAATGTGGTAGGATCTCAAACCACACTACCATCACCAAGCAAGTGCACTGCCAGCAAGCCCCCTTTCGGATCACTAGAAAATTAATGCAAAGGCTAGAAATTTCTTATGATGGTATAGGGCCTATCCAGCTAAGTGTGCATCTGTGAGTGTGAGAAGACAGATGGACCAATCAGTGGCCGATATGCTGGTATGTTATGTGGAATTCAGGGTCACGGGGATGTGAAATGCAGACTCTGATTCTGACTCTTAACTAAAAAGCAATGGCTCCCAAGGTTATAGTCAAGAGGCTTCAAGGGTCCCTAAACTTGTTTTTAGCCACAGCTGAAGTGTCAGTCTGACCTCAAGACAGGCAGCCCACGATAATCCCCTATGTTTATAGACTTTAAATATAAACTGTGCTTAACATCTGCCTTTATTTTTTAAAAAATTAACAACTTTGCAATAATCAGACTTCCTAGACAAAAATAAAGTGATTCCTATTAAAGTCTTCTATAGTTTTTTCTAAAACAGTACAGTACTAGGCACTGTAACGATTAACATATGCTTTCTCCTTAGTGTTTCCAGTAACTCTGAGGTAGATACAATGATTATCCCACTAAGTGTTCATTAAAGAGAGCAAGAACTTGGTCTTATTCACTACTATATCCAGGACCTAAAACAGTACCTAGCACATAGTAGATGCCAAATAATATTTATTTAATGAATGTATAAAAATTTCAGATGTAATTATAGGCTTAATTATGCAAAATATCCCAGGCTGGCCAGCATGTAGCAAACTGAATCCAAATCTAACAACCAAGTTCAGGCTCTTAACCCAACTATTATGTATAGAGAGTAGTTGTCTTAAAAGAAACCCTCACATTTATTATTTCATGCAGTTCATGTGTTTTGATTGCTGCAGAATGTGGAATTCTTTCCATAAAATTTTAATATGTGATTGCTCTATACAAATTGTTTTTACATATTTTTCTTACATCCAACCACTTTATGAAACTGTTTTATGTTATTTTATATCTTGACATGTCAGCCAAAATTTCCAGAACAATGTTAGTCAGCAATGGTAAATAAAACACATTCTTATTTTTACTTTAGTTAATTTGATTTTAAAAATGGCTTCAGCATTTCACAATTACAATGTTCACTATTGATTTGACACTAATAATCTTTATCTCTGAGGAAATAATCAATGTTTAGTTTTTATTAAGAATGAGCATCGAGTTTTATTAACAACCTTTTCCAGCACTTGCTAACATGATCACGAGTTTTCTTATCTGACCTATTTATGTGATATAACACATTAAAAGAAATGATATTATTAAACCATCATTAAAGTCACGTCCATGTATTTCCTATACTTCTCATCCTATACTTTTGAATTTCATTAAATAGACAATTAAAATAAAGTTATCACGTAAATATCCATGATTGAGGTTGAAAATTTGTGTGTGCTTGTTGGATAGTGGTATTGATACTTAGTCTTCTGCTTCAGAACAATTTACATAATATGGGAATCACCTACTTTTTAAAAGGAATGATCAAGTATATTATTATAGATATTGTATAATATTCTAGATATTGAACTATCATGTAGCCACTAAAATTATATTGACAATTTAAACAACATGGAAAATGCTTATGTTACAAGAAAAGGAAGAAAAAAGTCATGCCGGGCACAGTGGCTCATGCCTGTAATCCCAGGACTTTGGGAGGCCAAGGCGAGACGATTGTTTCAGCCTGGGAGTTCAAGACCAGCTTAGGCAAGATGGTGAGACTCCCATCTCTACAAGAAATTTAAAAATTAGCCAGGCGTGGCAGCAGGCGCCTGTTGTCCTAGCTACTCAGGAGGCTGAAGCAAGAAAATCGTTTGAGCCCAGGAGTTCAAGGCTACAGTTAGCCATGATCATACCACTGCACCTCAGCCTGGGTGACAGCAAGACCCTATCTCAAAAAACAAAAGGATATAAATTTGGTAATATAGTAAGATCTCAATTATGTTTAAAAAAAAAAAAAAAAACCCTTAGGACAGAAGAGATTAAAACTTTTTTTAAAAGCCTCCAACACGGAGCTTGCAGTGAGCTGAGATCCGGCCACTGCACTCCAGCCTGGGCGACAGAGCGAGACTCTGTCTCAAAAAAAAAAAAAAAAAAAAAAAAAAAAAACCTCCAACAGTTTTTTCCTCTTAGTGTCATCAGAATTTTTCTTCTGCAACTTTCAAATCATATAGACTATGTATTGCTTTTATAATTTAATAAAGCTCTCATAAGAATGGAATGAAGTCAGGTGTGGTGGCTCACGCCTGTAATCCCAGCACTCTGGGAGGCCGACATGGGCGGATCACGAGGTCAGGGATCGAGACCACCCTGGCTAACACGGTGAAACCCTGTCTCTACTAAAAAAATACAAAAAAAATTAGCTGGGCGTGGTGGCGGGCCCTGCAGTCCCAGCTACTCGGGAGGCTGAGGTAGGAGAATGGCGTGAACCCGGGAGGCGGAGCTTGCAGTGACCTGAGATCACGCCACTGCACTCCAGCCTGGGTGACAGAGCGAAACTCCATCTCAAAAAAGAAGAATGGAATGAAACTTTCGCATATTGTTTTACATATTTTATGTACAGTTGACCCTTGAACAACACAGGTTTGAACTGCCCAGGCCCACTTAGTAAGATGCTCTTCCCCGCTCTACCATTCCTGAGACAGCAAAACCAATTCCTCCTCTTCCTCCTCCTTAGCCTATTTGACACGAAGACAATGAGAATGAAAGTCTTTGTGATGATCCATTTCCAGTTAATGTATAGAAAATCTATTTTTCTTTTGATATACTTAATAGTTTCTTTTCTCTAGCTTCCTTTATTACAATACAGCATATAATACATATACAAAATACGTGTTGGCTGGTATCGGTAAGGCTTCTGGTCAACAGTGGGATATTAATAGTTATCTTCTGAAGGAGTCAAAAGTTGTACGTGATTTTCTACTGTGCAGGAGATTGGCACCCTAACTCCTGTGTTGTTCAAGGGTCAGCTGTATATGTAATATCTAAGAATACATTAAAGAATTTATAAAATATATTTTTAAAACATTTACATATATACATATCTACATATACACACGTATATTTGTGCATATATACATGAGGCAGAGAACGAGAAAACTGTGCCCAAGAGAAGCCTAATGAATAACTGGGTGAAAGGAGGAGCAGATGTGGAAACAGAGAAACCTGGTGAAGAAGAAAAAGAAGTTGGTGAGTACAACTAATACCGGAGCTCAGAGGTAGATTTTCTTAAATCTGATCTTTCAATAAAGATACTTTATTTCTCTAATAAATGAACGCTTTAAAACAAAATCTGAAAAGAAATATCTCTTATTTGACTCTTACACCTCTCTCCTCCTAAAACTACTCTACCAAAAGTAAGATACTAAACATGGTAAGCATATAATGATAGAACTGAAGGACCTTAAAAGTCATGTGAGCTGACTTTCGTCTTTTACACGAGAAACTAACAAGGGTACAAAGATATTAAAGAATACATACATCCAAGCTCATTGATACCATTGCAGAAATGATGCTACCAGCATTTTCTGACCATTTTCCGATCCCCAAATGGATCAGCACGACCACAGGGAGATGAAATAAAACGCGTACTCACCATGCCACTGTAGGAATGGCGCAGCAATATGGCATGTCCGTAGAGGAGTGTTCGATGACCACCACCTTGAGCAGTCTTTAGAGAGAAGAGAAAAAAGGAGAACAAAAGGGAAAAACACAAAAGGGTAACTTAACTCTCAAGTCGATAAAATACTCTCTTGTTCTTAAAGGAACGTTAGTAGGAAAGAATGCATTAAGAACTCTTGCAGACAAGCAAAGTGCTGTTGAAATAATGTATACATTGGAATAAAGTTCATGTAACCTCTATTATGGGGTTTTATCTAGTTCAAGAATAGCACTTTATCTAGTTCTTGAATAATAAACTTGGTATCAGTAAATAATTATCATAATTTATAGTTATTTATTCATAATATACTTAATTATAATCTGTTTCCCATTATATTACGGTTTCCATTGGGTGGGAACCACGGTACCTTCATCACCATTGTATTCCAGGTGCCTACCTGCACGCCGGATATACAAGAAGCACTAAATAAATGTTGATTCAGGCCAGGCACGGTGGCTCACGCCTGTAATCCCAGCACTTTGGGAGGCCGAGGCGGGCGGATCACCTGAGGTCAGGAGTTCGAGACCAACCCGGCCAACATGGCAAAACCCTGTCTCTATTAAAAATACAAAAATTAGCCGGGCGTGGTGGTGCATGCCTGTAATCTCAGCTACTCGGGAGGCTGAGCCAGGATAATTGCTTGAACCCGGGAGACAGAGGTTGCAGTGAGCTGAGATTGCACCACTGCACTCCAGCCTGGGCAACAGAGCAAGACTCCATCTCAATAAATAAATAAATAAACATTGACTCAATGAATGAGTCTTCCTAAAACACAAAAATGATCATAATGCCTCCAGGCTTAAAAACTTCTCATTCCTCCCAGCTGCTTACAGGAAAGAGTCCAATCAATCCCTCTCCATGAAATAGAAGAGTGCTTCTTAAATTGGAGAGCTTGTAAAAACACAGATTCCTGGCCCTTACCACTGGGATTTTGATTCAGTAGGTCTGGGGTAGTTACAGAGAAGTTTCATTTCAGTAATTTTCCAGGTGATGCTGATGCTGTTGGTCCAGAGACCCCTTTGAGAAGTACAGAGAGACTTTGTCTCACTCATCTCTAGTCTCATCTTCAATCACCCTGTGTCCAAACATACTCACTTTCCCTTCCCTGAGTATGCCATACTGCTTTCATGCTGCCCTATCTCCAAACACAACTTTCCCTCTCCCTCTAGTCTTCTCTGCCGTATAAAGCCTTTTTAATAAGAAAGCCTCCAATAGTTTTTTCCTCTTAGTGTAACTCAAGGATTTTTCTTCTGTAACTTCCAAACTGTATAGAATAAATATGTATTGATTTGATAATTTAATAATGTTTTTATAAGAATGGAATGAAACTTTTACATATTTTACGTACATGTGACTTTGAACAACACAGGTTTGAATTGCACAGGCCCATTTATACTCAGATGTTTTCCCCCTCTACTTTTTAAAACTCAGATTAAAGACTACCTCCCTCTATGAAGCCTCATCCAGTTTCCTTAAAGCTAGTCACTCTCCCCATCCTCCTGCAGCCCTAGGTATACACCTGTACATTGACCTTACACTCTACCCAAGAACCCTCCTCCCCTTGATCACACTGAAAACTCCTCAAGGACAATGACACTGTGCTGATCATCATTTCACCTCCAGCTTTGAGTGTGAGGTCAGGCCATGGTAAGCACTCAGCAGAGGTGTCAAATGAAAAGCTGGATATGGGGAGGCCCACTTCAGGCTGAGTGAGGAGTATGTATACAGGGTCATGGTATATAATCATAAGGTGTGTAAGAAGGAGGAATCAATCATGGGATTTCAGTGTTGGGTTGCACAGGAAAACTTCACAGGAATTATAAAACTAGATCAGGGAAAGACCATGGAAAGCACAGAATATTATGACGAGAAATCTGTACTTCTGTTTGCAGGAAAAGGAGGTCTTTAAAAATTTTCAGAATAAGAGTGATGACACTGACCCGTGCCTTAAGAAGTACAGAAAGACGCTTCAATATCCAATATTATTATAACCTTTTTACTAAACATATATCACATTCTTGTTGTTCCATATAACTTCTTAAAATAACTTTATGTTTTGCTTGAAAAAACTCAGAACTATTCTAAAAACAGATATTAAAAGGTATTAAAATAAGAAAAACTGCTGAAAAAAAATCCACTTTTTTTCGGGGTCCGGACGCAGTGGCTCACGCCTGTAATCCCAGCACTTTCGGAAGCCAAGACGGGTGGATCGCATGAGGTCAGGAGCTCAAGACCAGCCTGGTCAACATGGTGAAACTAAAATACAAAAGTACAAAAATTAGCTGGGCGTGGTGGCAGGCACCTGCAATCCCAGCTACTCTCAGGAGGCTGAGACAGGAGAACGGCTTGAACCCGGGAGGCAGAGGTTGCAGTGAGCTGAGGTCGCACCACTGCACTCCAGCCTGGGTGACAGGGCAAGATTCTGTCTCAAAAACAAAAACAAAAAAACAAAAACAACAAAAAACCACTTTTTTCACATAACTGAGAAGAAAAGGGAAAAATCTACTTTGAAAAACTATACTCCTGCCAGGTGCGGTGGCTCACGCCTGTAATCCCAGCACTTTGGGAGGCCGAGGCGGGCGGATCACGAGGTCAGGAGATCGAGACCATCCTGGCTAACACGGTGAAACCCCATCTCTACTAAAAATACAAAAAATTAGCCAGGCGTGATGGCGGCGCCTGTAGTCCCAGCTACTGGGGAGGCCGAGGCAGGAGAATGGCGTGAACCCGGGAGGCGGAGCTTGCAGTGAGCAGAGATTGCACCACTGCACTCCAGCCTGGGCGACAAAGCGAGACTCCGTCTCAAAAAAAAAAAAAAAAAAAAAAAAAAAAAAAAAAAAGAACTATACTCCTTCAGAAAATGAGGCTCTCTTTAGAGAACACTTACTTTTTCTATAATGCATTTGATTTATTGTGGCCAAGAACAATTTTATTTACTTGGTCTGGTTTGAATTACTTTGATAGAAGCTCACCTTTTCATACCAGATTGAAGTTCCAAAGCTGTAAAATCCACAAGAACTTTAATAACACTTGACAGCCACGCTAGTCAAAACAAAATTTTTTTAAAAGTGAAGGATAAGGCCTTGAAGTTAACCAGAAAAGTGCTTCTTTACCGTAAAGCTTTGCCTACACATTTCATTTATTTATTTATTTATTTATTTATATATATTGTGTGTGTGTGTGTGTGTGTGTGTGAGACTAAAGAGGTTTACAGGTTTCATTTATATATATATATAATTTACATATATATATAGTATGTGTGTGTGCGTGTATATGTGTGTGACTAAAGAGGTTTACATACACATTAAAATTACTGGTTCTATATTTTGTTCTTTCTGGTTTGCTTTTTTTGCTTTTGGGCTCCGTGTTTTTTAAATACAGCCAACTGTATTTTAAAAAAGCATGAGGCAAAGTGCCTCATGCTTGTAATCCCAACTACCTAGGAGGCTGAGGAAGGAAGACCACTCGAGCCCAGGAGTTCCAGGTTGCAGTGAGCTATCCACTGTACTCCAGCCTGGGTGACAGAGCAAGACCCTGTCTCTTAAAAAATAAAATAGTGAATCACACAATGGGGTCACTGAAGGATTATAACAATCAATGAGAATCCTGGCCTCAGTTGAAATAAAGGTGCCTGAAAAGGCCAGTTTGACATTGTCAAGACATCCGTTTGACACGGACTGGCTTACTTGGGATGGTGTCTTCATGGAAAGTCTCCACAGGGAACAGATCAGGCTTAGGACAGTCCTAAGGCACCACTGTTTAGCACCATCCAGCAGAAATAAGCTCCCACAACAAGAAAGCATCCATCTGGTTCTAAGAAGTTAATGCCTTTTCCGTACGAAACCCAAAGCAAAGCATGATTGAAAGGTGAAAGCGAGATAAAATTCAGCATGTTTTTCTGTTTAAGTGACTTAAATTACTGTAATTACATGCATGTGCCTTCCCCTTAATCCAATTCTAACCTTTCCAGATCATCCACTGCAAGTGTGAAAATAACTATTGGCCTTCTGGCCTCGAAGTTAAAAGAACTGGGGGCCTAATTAAATTATTTTAGGCATACCACCTGCTTTTAACTAATTCTACATCATCTTTCTATTTGCACTGGTTTTTACACGCATTTGTTCTCACAAGAGACCTTAAGATGTCTGTTCCAGGCCACCATTTCATTCACCCTTCCCAAGGGGAAGTCTATACAGTATGGTACAGTTGAATTAAGAGTGAGATGATAAAATGAATACAGCAAATGCAGATTTAGCATGAAAAACTAAAGTTTCTCAAACCCATAATCATAAGTTAGTTATTAGTATTTGCAAAGAGAGGAAATATTCCTATTTTGCTGTTTTTAATATTTTTCCAATCCAAACTCTTGTTTCATGATATGTCTAATTTAGGGATTAATGTCCTCTCTTCAAAATGTGATCATATTTTCTACTGAAAAATAAGAGCTAGAGTTCTTGGAAATTCTGGAAGATGTTCCATGTCCTGGTTGATAGATGTCTTCAAAGAAATGCACTGTTCTGTCATCCCATCCAAAATGCCAAATTCTTACTGGTAGTGAACAGGTCCAGTTTAGGGTATCCCGCAATGCACCTGGTTCAGTTTTATTAAACATGATGGATTTAACCACAAAATTCAACAGACTGACAAGAACATGCATCCCTTGCTTCAAAGCAACCTTTTCCATCTATATGTGGGATTTTGATTTAATATTTCTCACAGTCTATTTCTTTCAAAATTATCACTTATTTTAAGGCTTTCTTAACTGAATATCAATTTTTCTACCTACCCATTGTTTCTTGGCTTTTAAGATTAAAAAAATTAAACCCCATAAATGTTATAGGAGAAATGTAGTGGGCATATGAAAATGAAACAAAAATTTTCTACTATATATCCTAAAATAACCATAGTCTACTCTTCTTCCTGTCTGTCCCTTACGTATTCCTTCAATGACACGTCCACATGCTTTACTCTTTTCTTTTTATTTGTCTACTTTTACAATATTTTCACTTTTCCAATCCAGTCGAGAAATGAAAAGGGGCTGGCTGAATTATTTTCACGTCTCCTGGAGTAAGTAGAAGTAGTTTCTTGGTGCCTCCCCTAATTTCCCAGTGGAAGAATTTCCCATTGTATTCATACAAAAGTGCATAAATGCAAAGTCAACATAATGCCCAGAGTGAACATTCTAAATGGAGTTATTAAAATTGTTTTAATAAGAAAAATTCTTAATGTTAGCAATTAAACATGTTACAACATGACCCAAAAGTGTCAAATTTTGGCTTGACATTTTTGTTGGTTGAGCTTTTAAATCTAAACATGTGATTTATCTAAATCTAAAAGCTCCAAAGTTTAATATTTAAACATTTTAAAGCATGTGAAGAAAAGTTACATGGATTCAAAAGTAAAACAAATGTGTGTAACCATACATAAAACATACAAAGTATCACATATATACAGCTGATATATAGTAATATATATATCTGTTACATATATAATACAGCTATACTAATATGCAGATATACACATATATAATCCATATATAGTAATATATCTGCTATATATACACAGCAGATATATTACGATGTCTTACCTTCATCATGAATTTCTGTAGGGGCATAAGGAAAAGAGAGGAAACATTAAATAGACATGATCTCAAAGACTTCCTTAAAAATACCTCTTACTTATAAAGGCTCCATTATCCTAAATGGAGCCATTTAAACAATAAACATAAAAAAACACATTCACCGTGTTATCGCAACAAAACTTAGTATCAACTACATGCTAGAGAAAAGCTGTAGCGAGCAAAATTCTTTTAAAAAGTTTTTACATTAGTTTCCTCCTTTTTCTGTGAAAACATGCTGCTCTACTTTAATGAGTGATTCCATTTACAATCTATTTAAGCACCAAAAATGATATTATCTTAAAAACTGATCATCTGAAAATGCTTTTTAAAAAACCAACTTTCATCTTTTTCATAAAAATGCAGTGATAAAAGCAAACAGCAATCCAACTCATTTTAATAAAAACAGTAGATTAAAACAGGTAAGGGAGATCGTAAACTAATACGCTGCAATGAGTGGCTCTCATTTCATGCAAAATAACGGTAAGCAATTTCTTAGACACTGAATATTTTGAAAGGTGAATTTCAAAGAAAAATCACAAAAGCATTTCTATTTCTCTTAAAATGACACAGTCTCCTTTCATAAATTATATAATAGCTCTTTTTTTCTTCTACAAAACATAATGTGTATTATGTGTGTGTGCATGCAAATCTACAAATAACTTCATTTTTCTTTAGACCTCTAAAGTTTCTTTGACTTCTTATTCCTAGGATAGTTACACAGATGAAAGAGTACGAAAAAGAAAACAATGATATATTTCCAAACTTAGGGCTGAATTTAGTTGTCAGGTTGATGTCTAAGTCCTACGGAGAAAAGATATCATAGAGACACTAGTTGTAAGAAAAACAGCAAGGAAAAGTTTTCCAATATAGATATTTGTAAATATTACAATTTTTTGTAACTTATTTGCTAACTTACTGTAAGCACAAAACCACATTCTCCACACCCAAAGAGGCTGCTTTCTTCAATATTTATCTTTATGTGTTTCTTGTAAGTAAGGGATGACTATATGGGCAGTGATAGTCATGGATTCCAACCAGCTTTCTGTCTTAGATTTTTTTGGATGATTAATTTGCACAGAAACACAAAGGTGGAAATTTTAGTTCTTTAGGCTAAAACTGCAGGTGTCAGTAACTCAGTGTCCTAGGTTTAGATTAATCCAGAAATATGTTTCTTGTAACCTGAAACATATTTACATAGTAATATGTATATTATTAAAGGGAAATTCTATTGAGACTAATTTTTTCATTTTCAATATTACAATTTTAAGGAAAAACTGTAAAGAAGCTTTCATTCTTGGCTTAGAAAATATAGGCTGTTTAGTTACATTTTTATAACTGATATTAATCACATATAATTATCAGGAAACTTACTTTCCATGTTAAACTGACCAATCACCTGTGACTCACTAATGGGAGAGCTATCACTAAAGAATTAGGCAAAATCATTATTAAGCCCTAATTCAAAGAAATGCAAAAACCTAACATTTTGGTACAGCACATGGTTTGTTAAGAGGTACTTTCTCCATGAGATTTTTTTTTTTTTTAATTAAGCTAGGTTTGGGAGACTTTTCTTTAGAAAATGTTCTCAGCCTGATTTTGTCAGGTGTCTAAGTTGAACTGCTTTAAAACTGTAGTAGGTATTGACAACAACAAAAAAAGAGTGGTCGGCCAAGTGACTGAGGTCTGCTGTTCCACATTGCTAAGTCGTGTCTGACCGCAGGAAGAATAAGACACAGAGGAGAGCAAGCTGCATACTCGATAAAATAGTATGACTACTGAAAAATAGCAAATGCTGAAATATCCTTCTGTAGACTGAGAAAGAAGAGCAGGTGTAATACACAAACATCATTTTCAAAAGATAATCAAGAACATGAAAGATTTGTGGTATTAGTGGCATTATAGACATTAACTTTCTGTACAAATCATTTCTTGTTCAAATTGGTTTAAGGGCTAGATATTACCAAAGTTATAGCATCAAGAGACATTCAAAGGGATCGTTTAAGGCAAAAGAAGAAAGCAAAGCACATTGAAACAAAAACGATGAGTATATTAGTTTAATTCAATGTAAGCACTGCTTCTGTATGATAAAAGCAACAAACAGAAAAAGAATAACAACAAAAACCCTTTAAAATTGATATGATGGAAAGTAGAAAAAAGAAACACATAAAGATAAATGTCGAAGAAAGCAGCCTCTTTGGGTGTGGAGAACGTAGTTTTTGTGCTTACAGTAAGTTAGCAAATAAATGAACTATTTGATTTATTTCACTAATGAGAGGCTTAATAGACAAGAGCTAAAATTTCATTACACAAAATAGAGTAAGGGATGACTATATGGGCAATGATAGTCATGGATTCCAACCAGCTTTGTGTCTTAGAATTTTTTGGATGATTAATTTGCACAGAAACACAAAGGTGGAAATTTTAGTTCTTTAGGCTAAAACTGCAGGTGTCAGTAACTCAGTGTCCTAGGTTTAGATTAATCCAGAAATATGTTTCTTGTAACCTGAAACATATTTACATAGTAATATGTATATTATTAAAGGGAAATTCTATTGAGACTAATTTTTTCATTTTCAATATTACAATTTTAAGGAAAAACTGTAAAGAAGCTTTCATTCTTGGCTTAGAAAATATAGGCTGTTTAGTTACATTTTTATAACTGATATTAATCACATATAATTATCAGGAAACTTACTTTCCATGTTAAACTGACCAATCACCTGTGACTCACTAATGGGAGAGCTATCACTAAAGAATTAGGCAAAATCATTATTAAGCCCTAATTCAAAGAAATGCAAAAACCTAACATTTTGGTACAGCACATGGTTTGTTAAGAGGTACTTTCTCCATGAGATTTTTTTTTTTTT